TATCGTTTGATTATCTGATAATTTCGGAAGGGTTACTGTATACTATCAAGAAACTGATCAATTTCGTCTTTAGATGGGTTTATCTGTGGTAAGTATAAAGATTTGTAAAAGTCCCTGAAAGTGTTGTTTATTCTTTCAGGGTCATATACTGTATCCCCAGTTGAGTCTTTAACAGCACATATAGTTGTTTTTTCTTTATTTATTTTTAACTGGTTAGCTAAAAATCTACCTGAATCTTGCCAGCGAAGTCTTTGTGCTAAGAATTGTGTTTTTGTATGAATAATTTCATTTTTTCCTACAGTAAAAAAAAAAGCTTATAAAACGCAAAGCTTATAAAAGGACAGTACTGTAACACTTGACATTTACAGTTTTCACTGCAGGAATGTGGCATCAACACCATACTTCCTTTTTAATTCAAACTGTCTATAAAACATTACATAACCCAAAAGTGATGAAATATTTTTTTAAGAAAACACATACCATCAAAAACCACCATTTAGCAAAACTACAGTCCCATAATTTTGTTCTTTAACCCAAGGACTTCGGGTGAAAACTTGTCACCACCCAACTGCAGGAGGACCTTTTGAATAAACTTAAAGTAGTGTCGAAGGCCTTTTGGGTAGGTCAAGTTCAGTGCATAGATTCAGGATTCAAGATCTGTTTATTGTCAATACAACAATATGCACAGTATACAGAGTATATTGAAATGTCGTTCCACACAGATGACACCCAGCATCAAAGCACAAACCCTGGCTAAAGAGCCAATGTCCTCCAGAACGATTATTCTTTCAACAAGTATTCCAATATCTGTAGAAGTTCTGGTCACTTCTTCCTCCCTGTTACTGATGTACACACCCATGGAGGTTTTCTGTAGTACCGTCAGGACATCTTCTCCTTGGCAATTCTGTATATTTTAATAGAAATACACAAAACAACCATAATTTTGCCTCAAGGTACAGTCTTAAAACCTGCTGGGTTAGGCTAACTAGTTTTGGTTTGACTGCTAAATTCTGTCCTTGTTATTACAGACTGCCATTCGAGCCAATATTTACAAGACAGATTTGAGCCAATTTCCTCCATGTCTTATTTATGTCAGTACTATCAATGGAAGCCTAGCAAGCTCTATTTTCTGTTACAGAAAACTGAATATACACTTCCTTAACACAAATATCTTATCAGGCAATCACATGGTGGCAACTCTGTGCATTTTGGTATGTAGACATTGTCAACAACCTGCTGAAGTTCAAACCGAGCATCAGAATGTGGAAGAAAGATGATGTGACTTTGAACAATGAATGATTGTTGGTGCCAGGCAGGCTGGTCTGAGTACTTCTGCTGAGTTTTATTTGCATTACTATAACTTACAGTATGTACATACACTATTTTAGTTTCCTTGGTTGACTTACTATAAACTCCCTGATGAGATGTCGATCATCGTCACCCAGGTAAACGCAGAGTGCCTTGAGGATTGTTGTTCTCTTAAGGTCAACACTGGTAGCCTATAATTAATCATTACAGTTAGTAATGAAACACTTTTATAGTTATATACACACACAGTCACATACATACATACACACACCAGAAATTACATTAGGTAATACTGCCCCCCAAAAATATAAATATTTCCAAAAGCGTGTTGTTTTACACTACAGCCCCAAATTAGGGTTAGGGTTAGACAAAGTTTGGCATCAACATGTGTTTTTATGACGGGTCTGCTCCCCCGTATGATAGGAAACCATAGTGTAGCATGGTTTAGTAGCATATTTCCTACTTTCCAAAAACCTGTTGTTTCACCCTAAGGCCCCAAATTAGGGTTAGACAAAGTATGGCATTTTCAGGCATCAACATGTACCCCAAACTTTTTTTTCAGGATCCTCGGATTCCAAGCCTGCGTAATGCATAATGTATCTTTTATTAATTCCATTGCATGTTAAAAGGGCCAGTCTGTCATCCATCGCAGAACGTGTACTAACCTAAAAAATCTGCCTAGATACATGCTGAATCTCGACTGCCTACCAGGATTTTGACCAGGTCTCACTTTTGTAACAAAAATCGTATCTGTTTTGGAAACCTTCAGGAAAACACTGAACTCAAGTCTCAAAAAGAGTCTGATTTAGGTAAGTTTATTACACAAAGGCAATAATATCATTTAGATAATTCACATAAAATCAAAACAGACAAATACACTAATACATTCGTTTACAATACTTAAGTGAGAATTTATTCCTATATAACTGCTGCCATGCCTAACATGTTTAGCCCAGAAAAGACAAACTTTATATCACCACAATAAGTGACAAATTATTGAACACCCCCCAAATGCATTAACCCACAACGCTCAGCATTTGAAAATATACTATCTGCAGATCTGAAAATTTTGTTTGACAATGTATCTGTTATAATGCATTAATACTGTATATACTTCATATTCTGTTTTCCAGGACAGAGAAGCCAAAAGAAAGTAAGATTGATGAGCATGACTAAATCATACTGAGTAAAAGCAGGTATTTTAACAGTCTTTGCAAAGTTCTCAGAAAAAAAGTGCATGTTATAGGTACCTAGTCCTTCCATCTTCAAACTGGTCATCCTAGTCAGGGGGGACCTGGTGTTCACCCGAGAGCGGCACATTGCCCCCCCCGAGCAGCAGTCTGTCAGAGGGGACACGCTATAGGCGATTTAGGGATCGTCTTTGGCCCCTAGGCGGCATCCGGAGTAGCCGACACAGAGAGCACATGTAAACTCAACACACACAGAGCAGAGGTGAGCTTCAAACCCCCAAATTCAAAAGAAAATTTAACTAGTGTGGGGTGTGTTTAATTATAAATGTTTTCTGACCGGCTTCTGAAATTGGACATATGCACACATATCATTAGAGTACTCTGTAATATATTTCAGATCAGATTCAGGTTTATTGCCATCATGCAAAGTACAAGTACAATGCCAATGAAATGAAATGAAATGAAATGAAATGCAATATTTCCCAGGCTGTAGGTCATGTTGTGCTTCCTGCTTGTACTTCCTGTTACCTGCATCACTTCCTGGCTTTCTCCTCTGTACTTCAGTGTCACTTTCTGGAAAACGAAAGGGATGGCCAAGAGGTTCCCCACGAGGAGGCCACTGAAATCCACTACACCTCTCTCGGTCATCAGAACTGGAGGGACAAGCCATTTGTGCAAGAGAAAGAAAGTTATGTCATCTACTCTACTGTGGTAGGGAGAGTTGGGAATTAGTTACAGATGTGATGTTGCAAGCATGTACCAGCCTTGAGTGTTCTCATACTGTCTGGTTCACTATCTGACAACTATATCCAAAGATGATGGGGAAAATTCAAATGTGACTTAAATGAATTCTGTGCTTTGTGTTCTTTCTGTATTATCTACAGTGCGGAATCATCAGCCACACAGACATCATGTGGAATTATGTAGGCTTATGCTATTAAGTAATGTGAGGGTCTTTTATGGAGCCCATGCTTGCAAATAAAGAAAAAGCAGAAGGATGTGAGACCAAACTTTTGTCTGGGAAGCCACCTCTGAGAGTGCAGGGGGTGTCAAAGTGCTGCCAGGGTGGGGGGCAAATATACACACAGCTTTTTAGTTTTTTTTTTTTATTCTGTGCATGTTCTGCTTCCTGTATATGCTAAGCAAGAAGCATTTTCCCTTTCATGTTGCGAGAGAGAAATATGAACGGTAACTGCAAAAGCGGCTGCTGTCACCCTGTGGGTGGATGTTGTTTGAAAATGACCAGACCCTGGCGTGTCACGTGGACATGAAACCACGTCATACACGTCTTTGTGTCAAAAGTCTCGCTGCTTCGGTGCATCCTGGTGTTCGCTGGTGAAAAGTTAAATTATCGTTTTTCAGGCGTCTTCTGTTCCTGTTAAGCGACCATTTCTGCACATTGGCCAGGAATGTCAGAGCTGCCCAGCGTGGTGTGTGGTCTGTGCAAAACGTTTGCCTTCAACAGCACATTAACATGTTTCTTGATATAAGTCAAGAAGTGCACTTGTGAAGGTTTGGTCAGATACTGACTTTCACTCATACACACAGACAGTTTCAGCTGTGATATTATTATAGGAGCAGCACAGGAAATCCAGATATAAGCAAGACAGCTGTTTTCTCACATCTACAGGGTTGTGGTTTAGATTACTGTCCCAGGTCTCTCTCTCTCTCTCTCTCTCTGTGTGTTGGGGGGAAGGGTGGTGGTGGTTGCATCTTCTTCCTGTTTTGTCCCACAGATGTGCGGTTTATATGGGCTGGTGCCTGTCGTGTGCCCGGTGACTGACTGGCATCTATTTCAGAGTGTCACTCTGAAATAGATAGCCCTCTGCTTTCTGGAATATACTCTAGCCTCACTGCAACTTAACACTACATGAACAGCCACGAAAACTGGGTGGGCAGTGGTGTGTCATACTACACAGAAATAACATTTCATAACATACATGGCCAAAATGTCACAATTCCTTTGTTGATTTTGAATCGTTCATAATGCCCTGGATGTGTCAGTATTATTAACGAACAAATGAAACCGCACATAAGACGCATTCGATCTCTGACATAACAAGAAAAAAAATTGGTTCATGGCATCTCGGAAGGCGTGAAAATTCCAAAATATGTTTTGCTGTTTCATAACATAATAGCGCCACATTTTGGATATTTCCGCTAAAGATCGATAGATTGGTGACAGACGGATTCTTTTCGTTTGAACATCGTACCTCTCCCCAGAAGATGCGCACGTAGCCCGGACTCAGAAACACGCTTAGAAACATTGTAGTGATCGCATGGCGCATGCGCACAATAACCATAATAACAACATGAGATGCGGGATTCCAGGCGTGCAGAATCAGGCACTACACCTGTACTGTACTTCAGCTGGTAAACTTAGAAATGGTTTGCGACACCAAGGTTTTTGTTTAAAAAATTAGCTGTCTTATTTCTAGTGGTTATATCATGCCGCTAGATTCAACCATCTTATATATGCGACCGATCTGAAGTGCCACGAAACCACCAAAAGTATGTACGTAGAAAACATATGCACGAACTCGCATGACGAGATCGGCGTGTGTGCAAAGCGGGAGTTGAAGGCGAAGTGCAAAAATATACTTAAAAAAATAATGGAAATATTTGCAATATGTGCACTACATCCACGGGACGATTTTTGCATTTTTAAATACCTGTTTGCAGCTGTATTTTATTTTATGTTTGCAAATTTGCAGTAATTTACGAATCGCAGTCCACGAAAACGAAAGGTGACAGGCGTCTCCGAACACGCCACTGTCTTTGTGGGATGTAGTAATCCTTATTACACGTGCTTTCTGTGGGACATTACTGTGGTGGATCATCACTGTAAAGTGTTAAACAAACTGATGCAATATTGGATCCACAAAAAGGACAGGCTTTCCAAACGCAAGCTCATATCGCACAAATACAAGAACGGAATTTTGAGGAGAGAGATGGATGACCAGCAGTATCGATTCCCCCACAGCGATAACGATAAGGAGTTAAAGATGAATGATCTACAACCCACGGTTGCTGGAGAATATTTCTGTAATGGTATACAGGTTGCAGTCTTAACTGTGTCCTTAGGTAAACTCATATTCGCCTGTGACTAAGTGTGTGTTTATGCTGTTTAATATGATTTATCCACATAGTAACTGTAAATGTTGATAACGCAGATGTTTATTAATAATTATACCTTATGTCCATGTTCCATGCGCATGTATGTTTATTTTTGGCCTTGTTGGTATATCTTTTGATCTGTTTATGTTTTGTAATCGAAGATACTGGAGACCACATCACACAGGTCACCACTAAGAAGACTGGTGCAGGTATGTATCATTAGCAACGACGGTCACAACTGTCGCACTTACATGTTTTACTATCGCTCCTGGAGGCAGGATTACCAGTTTGCAGTTCTATAAATGGCCACAAGGGGGTATTATGAGACATGTTAAAGTATTAGCGACACAGGAGAATCTATTGTTCACTGTCAAAATCTGTACCGCGAATGTATCCGTACATGCAATTAATTTGTGTCACATAAAAATATTATAGTGAAAATGTAAATTTTATATGGATGATGGGATTGAGCTGTTGTACTTTTTCGGTGGATAAATGGTGGGGTGGGATGTTTAGGATTACTACATCGAATGTCATGCTGTTATGTTGTGATTGCAGTTTCCGTTTCAGTCGCGGCAGAAACTTAATGCAAAATGTGAAATAAGAAATTTTAGGAATGAGGTTTAAGTCACTGTTCTGGATTTATTTATAGGAAAAATAAAATCCTAGGTATTTATTGTATGAATTATTTTTCTTCTTTCTAGATAGTTTTGTAGAAGTTTATGAGACCGAGAACAAAGAGACAGACACAGAACGTGGTGAGGCACATAAAGCATATTTTCAAAAATTAACCTGAACTAATCATCTATGACACTTGACTGCTTTTGGGGAAAAAAAACACGTTTTTATATGCGATGATTAAATGATGTTATTTGTACGCTGTGTATTTAACTAATAGGTCACAGTAGAGTTAAAAGCATTGCAATAGTAGCATTCTGTAATCTATTTAAATAACATTAAAACTTATCGATAGATTTTTGCAGGAACGTTTTGAGAAACGCGCTTTGGATTTGAACGTTAGTATCTTTTATCTACCCTAGCTGTCTTGAACAACAAAATGTATTTTACTGTTTTCCTACAGTAATGGCCACGGTAGTGATGGGACTCTGTGTTCTGATTCTGTTTGCTGCTCTTGTCTGCCTTTTCTTATGGACCAAAAGGAGAAGCAGGTGCAAAGGGAATATACCATTCAGTAGTAAGTGTCGAGAAAGATAGCTGTCTCATTATTATGTTATTAAGCGATTATTATTAACTTTAAAATGATTCAATTAAACCCGATTGATGGCGTAATTGCCAGTAACAACCATCACATCTTCATCAGTAGAGGCTGCAAATTGAGCCCATTATTTTATTTAGATAAAATAGTATGTTTATTTTAGTTAATTATTAAGTGCAATTATTTTTAGGCATTTATTGCACCAGTACAGGATCTTGGTTTGATGTCTATCCAATGTGATAATGACAGTCTTTACAGGTAATTAAACATTACAGTCAGATATTATCTTTATTCAGGAAACAAACTGGAAACAGAAGGACCAAAGAAACATCAGAAACGACCTGATTTGGGTAAGGTTCTGCTTTTATATCAGCCCAGTTATATTCCCACAGTTTCATATGAAGTAGATTTTATGCAAGCTGTGTTGACTGATTTGAGGTAACTGATCTGCCAGCTGATATCCTGGGAGCCAGAAATTAATTTTACTGTGATCATACTGGTTTCTAGGCAACATGTGATAACCCACAGTGAACTTACTGCTATCTGAGCCTGTGCACAAAATTATGAATAATATCACAGATCCTCTCCTTCTCAACATGCATCCAGAAGGTGATTTTCCAGGAAAACTTCTCTGATCGGTGGTCATCTGTATTTTGTTTTTTGTTTAAATGTAGTATGATGCTTTCACACAGACTTTCATATATTATTTTCCAGATTGGGAGAGCGGCCATGAGGAAGTAAGTGTGTCTCAATGGATATGAGAAAATGAACTGTGTGAACTCCTACCCTGAATAGGAGAAGCGGTTATGGGAAATGGATGGATGGATTGTGCTAAGTGGAAATATTCAGAACTTAGAAAATGTATGTGCTTTACAAACGCACAGTAATTTACCAGTAATAACATAGTAATTGTTTGGAGTAAGGTAATGTATGTCGCCATTGCCGCAAATGTCAGAGTATTTTTCCAGGATTTTAATAGATCTAGGCCATTCTATGTTTTTTTTTTTCTTTTAATTTTTAAAAACTTTTTCATTTTAATGAAAATGTGTAGAAGGAATGGAAGACCTCAGAATAAGGCAAGCATGAAGGAGCAGGGACCTTGCAGAACATAATGTTCGGCTGTCGAGTTCCAATGTGTTTTTTGTGCTTCGTGTCTGGTCTTCCATGGCGGTGTCCTGATCATCCCTTGTGTGTTATAGTGTTGCTTCTTGAAGAATGAGGTAGATGCCCACAAGTGCTGTCTTGATGAAGACATTGATATGCACTATACCTGCTGGGGTCATCGGAGCTGGAGGGAGAGGCCACATATGCAAGATGAAGACAGCCACGTTATTGTCATCTACTCTCTTGTGGCTGATGGAAGGCCAGACCCATGACTGAATCGCAGGTGGGGGGGGTCAGTCGACCAGTTGTTTATCTGATGCCAGCAGCAATGGGCCGCCCTTTCTGGACCTGTGCTGGTCCCACTGACTCACTGCCAGTTCGAAGATTTGGCACGGCACAGTATCGTGGACAAGAAGCCAACTTGTGTCTGCGTGCATGACTGTGCCCTTCAATGCTCTCAGCTTTCTAGGAGTGCAGGGTGGTAGGAGTTCTGCAGTGTGCATGAGAACGACCAATGAACAGCCATTTATGACGTCAGGTGACTTCTCTGCTCTATACAGTATATATCATATAATCCGAAACACATAACCACCAATCACGCAGCTTGTATCTCTGTAGCGAATTGTGCCACTGCAATAGACTATTGAACGTGAATATAATATGGAAGATAAGCGTGGCTTTCATCAGCGTGACTATAATCCTTCAGTCTCACAAAATGAAGGGTTACATGAACATGTGGGATGCTAAAGAAGCTTCTGTTATGTCAGAACATTTAGAAGTTTAGAATTTTCCTCGCCTGGTGAGTATGTTTTTTTGACAAGTGCTGGAAGTTTGACTGAAGAACACATTTATTTTATTTGTGTCAGTCCTTGGTGGGCTTGTATGAAGCTAATCAAGGCTCAGAAATATCCATATATATACATACAGTGTACAGTAGTTGTGCTGGTTCTTTAGTTGACCTCCTAAGTGTCGAGTTTATTAATATAGCCTGAAGTAAAGATTCCTTGACATAAATTTCAAGACAGTCATGCGTACAATTTTATGTCTGCATGTGCTTGATAAAGATTTGAGTACTAAGGACAGTATGACTTTAGAAGATTTTAGAAATGTATAAAGTAGAACTATATGTATTAAAGGTCCATCATTAAATGATGTAGAATTCTATGAATCATGTATTAATATATAGTGGTATAATTGTTTTTTTTAAAATATAATTTCAAAGCTTTTTGTACTTATTATAACCTTAATGTTGTTGACTGTTACATATTCCTGAATATGCTATTACTGAAACTTAATAAATATGCAAATATATGTCTTCATTATTAATTTCTTTTTCATTTAGCGCCCTCGGTAACATAATTGCATCAAAGAACTTAATAAAAATCCTGTGATGAAAACAGCAGCCGGGAAAAATAAATGAGTCTTATTGATGTACAGTATTAAAGTCGGTGTGGAGATAAAAGCCGTCGGATTGTCTTTTAATTTTCTGGGGTAGGTATTAGTATAACATCAGGAAAAATGTGTTCCATTGTTAGCTGATTACCAGTAAACCGTACAACATGATTATATTTCAGATGCTCAAAACAGGGAATATAAAGATTTTTACATTTGTTTTCTTTGCCATTTCCTCATCTCATTGTTGCCAGGAAAGATGCTTAAATTTTCCTGTTTCTTTATCTGTTTAGCAGTCTATGATGATAAATTTGTGTTTTTATTGCTAATGTCTGTGCATACAGCACAATCGTATGATTAAATACTGGTTAAGCTTGTCTTTTATCCACTTTCCATAAGTTCCCATGCAATAATATGTGGACCCATGGCCCAAGAGTTTGGAGAGAGTGCCTGTTTTGGCAGAGTTGTCAAATAAGCTGAAAAGAGGATTAAACTGCAGCAAAAATGCATGAGAAGTGAGTATTTTCATCCATCCATCCTTTTTTCAAACCACTTATCCTTCTGGGTTGCAGGGGTCTGGAGCCTATCCCGGAAGCTACGGGCACAAGGAAGCCAAGACGGGGGGGGGGGCAGCCCATCGCAGGGCACACACACACCATTCACACCTATGGGCAATTTAGGAACTCAGCTTCAGCATGTCTTTGGACTGTGGGGGGAAACTGGAGTTCCTGGAGGAAACCCCACGACAACATGGGGAGAACATGCAAACACCAAACACATGAAACACAGGCGGAGACTCAAACCCTAGTCCCAGAGGTGTAAGGCAACAGTGCAGCCCACTGCACCACCATGCCACCCAAGTGTGTATTTTTAGGCTGTTAAAGATTGCGTCCCTCCACTGACATCTAGTGCACAGCAGTGTGTATAGCCTGCAGCAGTGTTTCTCAGTCCAGTCCTCCGGGACTTGCAGACGGTCCACATTTTTGCTCCCTTCATGCTCGCAGCACGGTCGTCGCTGACTTACAACTGCGATCGGACCAGGCGTAAGTTGATTTTGTCGTAAGTCGGCCCTTTATTTTATATGCAAAACTGATCATATGTATAGTATAGTATATGTACAGTATATTGTATAATAAAATGACAACATCTATAAGTCATATTGTTTGGTGTTTTTAGCCTCTTAGATTATTGCTGCTAGCAGTTGGCGTGAAAACTGTTGCTGCCTTCAAGTTCTACTCGGAAGATCCGACTATGGAGTTGGGAAATCGTAATTACGACATAACACGTGTTCAAGCGGTTAAGTCAGAGGCGATAAGAAAGCTGCTTTTCGTTTAGCTGTATTTGCCGTTCCTCCAATGCCAAAACGCATTCATAGTGTTAAACTTTTCACAATCTCTTGCTCAAACAGCAGGTACCTGACAAGCTATATATCAAAGGTTTGTTTCACAGTGCACCATTTAATAACAATCTCCTCAGCATTCAAAACAATACAGAGTTTTGCAATGACACGCTACATAAAATTTACTACTATAAAAAGGTTGTTGAATCAAGCTTCACTCTCAACTGAAAATGTATGTGTATGTTTCAAAGAGCAAGATAATGACATACAAAAACAAAGCATTCTGATATACTTGTGCAAATAGCAAATAAAGCATCATTCCATTTCACTTGTGTTCACTTGTGCGGTTAAAGGCTATAGTCATGAACACATACATGCATGTCCTTTAAGTTGCAGCCAGCACTCTTTGTGGGTGTTACTGCAGAAAACGAGCCTTAGTTTTGCCTGGCTGTTCCCTGAAATGCTACAGTGGCATAGATCACACCATTGGAGGTGGGGCTTCTCTGAGCAGGAGGGCAGGCCTTGTTAGGTAGGCCAAGACTGTCATAGTGTAGATCCCCAGTCTGAATGAAGAAACAGCATTCAAAACAGATAATATTACTATACTGTTAAAACATAATGCTGATACAATGCCGTCAACATAGCTTTGTACAGTTTTTATATAAAAATTGCATTTATTGTATTGTGGATATTGTATATTTATTGATTGTATTTATATCTTTGTGTAGCACCACAGGGGGCCCGAGGGAAATAGAATTTCAATGCTCTGTGTACTTGTACACAAATATGTTGACAATAAAGATCTCGAGTCTTACTCATTCTTGCAGGGATATTAAGAATGGTGTTTGGGCCATATTTTATTTCACATGCAGTGTTACTGTACCTTCAGCTTGTCACTCCTTTCCTGACAGTTGGCACAAGCAGAGGTCTTACGATCTGGATGAGGGAAACACCGTATAGAGTTCAGTGTTAGGAACCGTATGCTCAACCATCATTATTACTCAGCAATGCCAGGAAATGGGTCTGAGGTGGCTCTGTCAGCACCTCGCTCCACCCTACAGCTGAGTAACTCGCCATATGCCAGCAACTGACTAAGAACCGAAGTTATCTCCAGCCATTTTATTAGAACTACAAAGCACGTGTTGAGCCAATTATAAAAGGTGGCTCACTCATTTTTCATCTTTAAGTTTTTACAAAGATTCCTTGATAAATCTTTAAAAAAAATAATTCTCCTTTACTGCTGTCATGATTTGAGGGACCAAGGACTCAAGGGCAGACATTGTGGCGAAACCAAAGGGGTTTATTGAACTAAACAAAGAGAGGCTGGAAACGAAAAGGACTGTGAGGGATCAAAAACGGGAGGACATGGACAATAGGGGAGGACACAGGCAGCAGGAATGTTCGACACTAATGACCAGTCTAGGGCTGACGAGACAAACAGGTACTTAAATACAAGGACTAACAAGGGGCAACAAGCAACAGGCCACGTTAGGGAGGAGACAGGAGGGTCAGGTGTGCAGGACATGTCCTTGTCTGAAGGTGCCTGGCCCCTCCACTTAACAACCTAATTAGCCCAATCACAGTTTTTATTTCCCTAAATAAAATATGCAGTTATGGCAGATGATCACTGGGAACTCACCTGGTCTGGCACACCTGAGTGTTGACTTAGCACACAAAAAATAATGAGAAAATTTGTGAAGGAACAGGCAGAAAAAGGTGTAATGTTTGAAAGGAATATATCTTGGCTCCCTGTGGCTAGAAGAAGGGATCTGAGTGCCTCAGAGAAAGCTGGTCCCTGGGCCTGCATCAAGTATCTAGGCATTTTACTGTGTGTTTCCTACTTTTCGGCAAAGTTGTCCTGCTTTTTCTGGGCACAGAAATTTCTATGCAGTTTATTACAATCCCAAAAGCAATAAGGCACAGTTCAGTCGGTTTATGGTCCTGGCATGAGAGAATGTTCTCATCAACCTTTTAATGAGGCTTTTCTTCATCATAAAAACCAATAATAACAACTCACACGAGAGCAATTGCAACACTAACTGACCCATGTTCCCGAAACAGCAGCCCCTGTGGATAGTTGTCACATTGCCCTTGAGCTGTGCCTTTAATCACACCTCCAGATGCATCATGGGATATGAGGGACAATCTGCTATAAACACTACCGTCAGCATGTGGCGTAATGCTGTCACAATGCTAAAAACATTCAGTACAAAAAAAGTCCCTCGAGTCATGCCATTGACCTTACCAGTAAAAAGACTGTATTCAGGAAACACAGGGCATAACAATACAGGCAGCATAATCCAGTGATTCCCAGCCCAGTCCTCAGGAACCTCCAGGTGGTCCACATTTTTGCTCCCTCCCAGCTTTCAGCCAATCAAAAACAGCGAATACCTGATACAAGTGTGTTGGGAACTGGGAGAGAACAAAAATGTGGGCTGTCTGCGAGTCCCCACGTAGCACTCATTTTACGTTTGTGTGTTCTCAACATATTTCCTTGACAGGCCCCACGCTCTGCAGGACTCTATACCAGGGGTGGGCAATCTTCTCCACAAACGGCTGACGTGTATGCAGGCTTTTGCTGTAACTCCCTACTTAGATTACTAATTAGAGGACTGATTGGCTGAAGAGTCCTCACACCTGGGTTTGAACAGCTGCCCTAAAGGTTATCCCAAAAACCTGCATGCACACTGGCCCTTTGTGGATAAGATTGGCCACCCCTGCTCTATACTAAATAAGGCTATGGAAGATGTGCTTTTAATTCATTGTAAGAACCAGCATTCCATTGCTGTTATGGTCTAACCGGTTTAAGGAATTGATCAACAGTGTATGACAGAGTAGCATTCATGTTTGTGGTACTCCTAAGTTACTGCAGGAGAAATTCTTAAAATCCCCATCACCTTTTTACAAAAGTCTTCCAGTGTATTTAGTGACCAGCCCAAACTGGAATCCCACAGCAGGCAGCCAGCAGTAGTATTATCGAACTGCAGCCTCCTGCCCAGTTTGCACTTAGGGCGCTGTGTGATTCGGGGTGGGGGGTGCAAAACAGCACGTGATAATTTTTTTTTTTTTAAATGCCTCTGGTTGCATTCTGTAACGTTACATATATCTACGCTAGTTTTAATATTTCCCATTTAAGATTTCACTGTGTTTCTTGCTAAACAGATGCCAGCTACCTAGTTCGCAGCCAGATACCCCATGCTACTGAAATGTTTGTAATATAAGTGAATTGATAAAATTTGTCTTCTGCTCAGCAGAATCTCACCTTGGAAGCCAGAACACCCAGGGCTAGCTAAGGTTTTTTTGCTACGGTTTTGCTTGAACAACAATTGCACTCAGCAGGAATTAAGATAAGAAAAAACTTTATTCATCCCAAGGGAGATTAGAGTTGAACTGAAATAATTGACACCTTGAGCTTCCTTCACCTTCTTGGAAATGATGTACCTTTGAACACCCGCATGATAATTACCTCCACCGGTATGTTGTTGCGATGTTTTCATATAGAAAGTGAAAGACATTTGTACGTTTCCTCAGCCTTTATAAACGCTTCACAGCTGATAGCTCAGCACTGAGCCAGAAGCACAGGTGGATTCCCGGCTACCCAACAGCTGCTGACTTCACATCACTAGACCCTGAGGTTTTATAGGAGCATCTAATACACCTTCATGGCGAGAAGAAACACCACGCTGCCACCCAGCCTGAAATACGAGGCACTTTCAGCCATCACAGAATGCGAGGTACAGTCAATCCAGGGGTACCAGACGATGAACCCAGGCAAGCCAATGCCGGAACCTTTCAGCCCCCAGGATTTTGTCAACTTGGTGTCACTCAGACAGCAGACATTTCACGAAAGTATAATGCAGCTGGCAGATATGAACTGTTTGTATACGAGCGAAAGTCCCGCTGACAATGACTTGATTTGCACAGAACTTCTCGTGAATGAGGAAGACTTCTTCGATCCACGGTACGATTATGACTTCACTGACATAGACGATGGGACTGAAGAGTTTAAACGGGGCAGCGAGCCCTATGCAAGGCCCTGTGGATGGAACCGAATTGCCCTGAAGGTCCGTGACAAATACCCAGATGGAAACAGATGGCTGGGAATGGGACCTGACTCCTGGTCCGTCTCCTACCATGGCACCTCAGTAGAGGGCGCCAAGGGAATCATCCAAAGTCACTACAAACCCGGCAATGGGATGGGTTATGGAAGGGGAGTCTACTCGACACCAGACATTTCCACAGCTTTAAGGTATTCGAACACATTTACATCGAAAACAACTGGGAAAACCTACAATGTGATCATACAAAACAGGATTAACCCACAGAGAAGAAAAATCCCCTCTGAAACTGAGTGGTTAGTGCCAGTTCCTGCAGGAACATCATTTGATGAACAGAGAAAAATAGTGGAGAGTGCCATTCGTCCTTACGGACTTCTACTCAGAGAAGTGCAACATCAAGCTTGATAATATAAATGTATGAGAACCATGAGTCATTCTATTAAAGAATTTTCAAAGACAAGGATTTCAAATTGTAGTACTGTACTGCCCCGCAAAGGTAAAACACAGTAACTGCTCTGACAATGGAACTGAGAATAGCATCAAAGTTTTTAAGGTTCATTGTCCTTGAAAATGAGAAAGCACTCTTTCTGTTTCTTAAAATATTAGGTGAAGGATTAAGCAAGTGTCCCAAGACTTTCTGTGAGCTGTATATTAAATCAGAGGTGAAATTAATGGGGAAGAATACAAAAAGCTAGAAAGTTTGATCAGCGATAGTAGCACCAGTAGTAGTTGTTGTAGTAGTAACAATAATAATAATAGTTAATAATAATAATAATAATAATAATAATAATAATGTGTCTAAGACTTCTAACTGTTGAACTGCTCATGATAGAATATTCCAGAACTAAGAGGCCAGGAAGCTCCTTCTCACTCCGCTGCAGCCATGATCGGGACTGATCACCACTGAAAGACATTACTGATTGCTGTGAGGTCTGTGGAGTCCTTGAGTCTGTTGGGTTTTTGAGCCCTTAACCCTGAAAACTGCTTCAGGGGTGCTACATACATGGCTGATCCCAAGTGGCATTCTCACCTCATTATGTGGGTCTTATCTGAGAGCGTAGGAGAAAGTCTGATTCTGGGAGGGAATGCAAGTTAATTATTAATAACTTTAATTATTAATAATTTAAATGCAAGGATCTTTTTTTTGGGGGGGGGGCAGTTGGCAAATGGAGCCAAATTAAATACTGGGGGATACAAGAGCCTCCTGCCCCCCCTGGGTTCTATGCTCCACTTGGAGAATAAGATCACCAAAGACAACCAAATACCAAAGAATTAATCTTTGTACCTGTTCTTCTTCAAATGGCAAATAAATTGTTGTTGATGTTTTTGTTGTTGTTATAGGTATTATTAGTAATAGCAGTGATAGTATTGTTGTGTGTGTTATTATTATTATTATTATTATTATTATCAGTACTACTAGTAGTAGTACTATTGTTGTGTTTGTTGTTGTTGTTATTGTTATTATTATATTAGACTTTGGGAGGAAACTGGAGTACCCACAGGAATTGCTCACAGACACAGGGAGAACATTAAAACTCCACACACAATAAGCTAAGGCTACCCACCACACTGGAGGCCCCCCAGTGAGTAGTTAAAACCCCTAGGATGTGTGGCATTATCAGTATGTGGCCCATATGTTTGGAGACACGCCGCTTACCTGCAGGGTGGCAGAGCTTGTAGACCAGCAGAGCGATCAGCAGAGAACCTGCTGGGGTCACAGCAGCCAGAAGAGTCCAGCACACAGGAAATGAGGTCTGTGACGTCGGACCTGCAGCAAAAACCGCAAACTGGGGAGCCACTAATTTGTGAACAACTCCCTGAAAAACAGAAGCTCAGTGCATAGTAGACATTGCCCATAGTGTGTCTGCCCAAGACTGGCAGCCCATCCAGAACACGCCGCCCCAGCTGGGAACAGGGTCCAGGCTCACCGTGTACCAGCAAGTGGTTGAAAGAAGGATGGTTATATTGACTTTATTACACTGATGTGGGAGGAAACCCAAAATAGTACAGGGAGAGGGTGTGCACCTGTACACCAACAGGCCAGATTCAAACCCCCAACCCTGGGCCACAGCGCCACCCAGTGAGAAGCTGTGACATCTGCAAACTGATGCACTATATTCACTATAATACAAAGAGCATTGCAGTAAAACACAGAGTTCTGTGTTTTTTAAAGGATTGAGGTAGATGAAGTCATGTCTATATCCATCCATCCATTTTCAAAACCCACTTGTACAATGCAGGGTGCTGGGGGTCTGGAGCCTATCAATGGGTGCAAGACAGGAAATAACCCCAGATGGGGCTCTAACCAATTGCAGGACGCACACCATTCACACCTACAGACAATCTGGCTACTTCAATTGACCTCAGCATGTTTTTGTTCTGTGGAGGGGAACCTAGAGCACCCAGAGCAAACCCCATGATGACACAGGGAGAACTTGCCAAATTCACAAACATGGAGCCAGGAGGCTTGAAATTTAATATACACAAACAATGCATGCATCTGGGGTATGAGGCTCAGCTAGTTAGGACATTGTCCCTATAAGCAGGTGTTTGTTGGTTCAAATCCCATGTCTTGCAGCGGGATTTCACTTGGAGCACAGCCACTATCCCTAATTGCTCCAGGGCCTGGCTGACCATGCTTTCTCAATTTTGTGCCACTTTGGATAAAAGTGTATGATAAATAAATGGGCACAACCTATTGCACTGTTGCACTTTACACTTAGCCTGTCTTACTCTTAAGACACGTCTTACTGTCATCTCTTCTATTCATTCTTTTATCGCACTGTTTTTGCACTGTATGCACGTTTCGCAAACTTGCACTTTATGTAGTCCTGTGTTTGATGTAGTGTTATATGTAGCACCACGGTCCTGGAGGAATGCTGCCTCGTTTCACTATGTACTGTATTACTGTATATGGTTGAAATGACAATGAAAAGCCACCACCACCACAAACGTATCACCTTCTGAAAAGCAGCTTACCTGAAAAAGTTAGGTGCTCCCCTGAACCAAAGACCAGCCTTCCATGGTGTCGTACACTGCAGAAATAGATCCCCAGGTCTGCTTCACTGACTTCCTTGATCCATAGATTTATGAGCCCTGTCCGATTGTCTTTAATGGTTGTGAAGCGGTCTCCCTCATTGAATGTGTCCACCGTTGCGTTGCCCAAAGTTGTTTTTGTGTCCCCCAGCATAGTGATTTCCTCTGAGCGCTGTCGGATCCATGTGATCTCAGAGGGGATTGTGAAGTTGCAGGGCAGAGCTACCGTACTTCCAGGCAAAACCTGGCGCAGAGCATCCAGTGCTGAGGGCAAAACCCCAGTGGAGACCCCTAAGCAGACAGAAACAGAGAATAAACATTCAAATATCCATATACCTATCCAATGACAGTAGCTGATTATAGAAATTATTTACTTACACCAAATAAGAATGGTAAGATTAAGACGCATGTAAGTCATGTCTTTTTTTAAAGACCACAGCCGCGATTGTGGTGAAGTTACTGCATGAGTGCCCTTTGTATAACTTTGTGTTTTTTCTATAGAACACGGAAGTGGTTAACTGAAGCGTTTTATGTGTAGTTTAGGACCACCAGCCCAAAATGCATTATTAACTTGCAGTTCTAGTTAATAAGCACGGAAAGCGGTAGGCGGATTCTTTAAATATTGTATAGGTTTCGTTTTCTCTGTACGCTATACGCTTCCCTTTAAAACACGGGCACTATGTAGCTGGTAAGCCTCCCTCTGGAAGAAATACGACGCGCAGGACGGCATGATGTCCAGGTAGAATCGCTATTATCTTTAATGCTTGTCGGTTTGAGGTACCGTGAAAATAAATGCTTTGTTTAACCAAGCCATGAAACTGAACATATATACAAGATTTTTATTAGCCTATATGATTGAATCGTTGTACAGATTTCACAAAAAATGTATTTATGTATATT